TAAAGTGGTATTCAAAATGACTAAATTATATTTAAAATTGATATGAATATTTATTGCAGTATTTAAATTATCAAAAAGTGAAATTTCATGACTTTTCATGACTATATCCTTTCTGTATCAATAAATTGTGCTGAAATTTTGCCCAAAATGCCCAGCGTTGCGATTTTGAATGTTTCTCCAGATTATATATATTAAAGCAAATATTGCCTGTTTTTATATTTAAAGGCTTTCTAGAGACATGTTTAAGGGTGAAAAAATGTCATGAGTATCAATATTTGGGTCTCTGAGGGTTAAACATTCAGTTCAGTGAGGTCATATTTTTAGTATGCTAGTATTTTATAAAACATTTAATTTGAGTTAATATAAAGTTTAAACATATTTGTTTTTAATTCAATTTGTGAAAAAATTTTGTTTCCTCAGGCTCGACAGAGAGAGAAAATGAACGAGGAACACAACAAGCGTTTGTCAGACACTGTGGACAGACTCTTGACAGAGTCGAATGAACGTTTACAGCTTCACCTGAAAGAAAGAATGTCTGCTCTTGAGGAGAAGGTGAGAGAAGATCCAACCGTCATGGCAGATGTCTTCCGATACTGTTGATCTCTCACACTGTTTCCATTGCTTCTCTTTCAGAATGTGTTAATACAAGACTCAGAGAACTACAGGAAGCAGTTAGAAGACTCAATTCAAGAAAAGGTAATTAGTTTTTATATTCTGAATACTAGCTTGGCAAAACAAATTTTGATGCAATGCTTTGCCATCCATTCTGAGTAAAATGACACTTTGATGTGCTTTACGGTTATAGTCTAATTTCTCGGAGGAGATCGAGAAACTGAGATCTGAACTGGATCAGTACCGGTTGAGGGCCGGATCCCTTACAGAGCCCACGCTGTCACGGTGAGACAGAAAGCATGAAGAACTCAGAACTATCCTTTTACAATAAACAATAGCTCTGTTCCAAAACCCAGCAAGCTCAACAGAATTTTCAGGCATCATAGGCATGCGTTCAACACAAAGGCTGTTCCAAATACAGTAGCTGGCAGCAACATTAGCAGCAGCATTGCATGTATCCATTCTGGAGGAGGCGATCCAATGATACATTGCTATGAGATCACTCTGACAATTGCATAAATTTTCTCCGTTGGGGAATTTTTACAATAATTTATCACCTTTTAAAAACAGATCTACTATGAGCTCTGAGGTTGTTAATTGGTCGTTTATGCTTTTGTTGAAGCTATCAGCTCACATTATTTAAACTTTTTAAATAATCATGTTTAACAGTGGAATTATAGGTGAAAAACTGTTACCCATTCTTAAAAAAAAAAATACACCAATCAAATGAGGCTCCTATACATATAATCAATATCTTTAAATCAGTAGTTTTATATTTCATCATCGTTTTATTTTCATTTAATTGTCATTGGCAATGCTTAATGGGATTGTTCCAGATCAGTCACTGATAAGGTTCCATTCTTGTTAAAATGCCTTAAAAGACTGCAGCCTATGTAGACAGCAATGGTCTCAGCGGACCATTTTTTTGGGGGGTCCAGCTCAATTCTGTTTCAACACAGGCCCGTTTGGCTCCTGTTTAGATATCTGATATCAAAGCGTGCTCGGTTCGCTTCAAGCTAGGCCATCATGTTTCGGTGAGCACATGTCGCAGACTCCTGGGTCTCATGGCAGCGGCCTCTCCTATGCTGCCCTTGGGGCTGCTTCATATGAGGCCATTTCTGTGGTGGATGAAGTTCAAAGGAGTTCATCCCTTGTGACCAGCCCTCCACCTGCTAAGTGTGTCGCACAGTTGCTTTCGTGCCCTCTCAACATGGCAGGACCCTCTCCTTCTTCAGCAGGGGGTCAAGATGGGTGCTGTTTACCATCGCCAAACGATTACAACATACTGGCTTGTGGTGTTTGGATGGGAGAGTTTCTCTCGTGGCACATAAACAGCCTAAAGCTGCGAGCCATCTTCCTGGCCCTGGTGCATGTCCTCCCAATTCTGACGGGTTGTCAAGGGATCATCAAAATGAAAAATATGGCAGTAGTGTCTCACATAAATCGTTAGGGAGGCTCAGGGTCTCACACCCTGGACAGGCATGCGCACCACCTGCTCCTTTGGGCTCAGGACAGGTTTCTTTCGCTGAGAGCAGTTCACATCCCAGGGGCTCTGAACCTCGCAGTCTGGGATCTTTTCGGCAGGACGGGGGTAGATTTCTTTGCGTCGTAGGAATCGTCCCCTTTGGTTCTTCCTATGTCATCCGGCACCTCTGGGGATAGATGCTTTTACTCATCCATGGCCGGATCTGAGGCTGTACGCATTTCCACCAATCAAGTTGATTCTGGTGGTCTTGTGCAGAGTGAGGGAGTGTGGAGTCCGCCTTCTGTTGATAGCCCCGTTCTGGCCTTCCCAGACATAGTTCTTGGAGTTAGTCTCTGTTCTAGAGCACATCCCATGGGAGATTCCAATCAGGAAAGACCTGCTGTCTCAACTCTAGGGCAGGATCTGGCACCCTCGGCCCGAGATTTGTATGCTATTGGTGTGGCCGATCAAGGGTGATCGGCTGTAACCTCTGATCTTCCTGAGGACGTTCAGGAAACCTTTGATAATGCTAGGAAGTGGAAGGTTTTTGAGTCGTGGTGTTTGGCTCATGCAGTGGACCCAGTCAGCTGCCCAATTGGTTCAGTGCTGGAGTTTCTGCATGAGAAGTTTGCAGCTGGAGCAGCTGCTACCAACTTGAGAGTTTATGTTGCAGCTATCGCTGCTCACAGGTATACGGACGAAGTCCCCCTAGGTAGACATTGTTTGGTCTCTTCGTTATTCCTTCCTGGGACTTGCCTATTGTCCTGGAGGGCTTATTGGAGTTGCCGTTTGAGCCTTTGGAGTCAGCTCCTGATTCTGACCCTTAATGTGACGCTCCTGTTGGCGTTGGCTTCTATCAAACACATTGGGGATTTGCAGGCTCTCTCTGTTAGCTAATCATGCAAGGATTTTGCTCCGGGTCTTGTTAAGAGATTCTTACAGCCCACACCCGGTTATGTCCTCAAGGTCTTGTCCTCGTCATTTTGCTACCAGGTGGTCGTGCTTCACTCCTTCTGTCCTCCTTCTTTTGCTTCTGTTGAGGACGAGAGGCTTCACCTGCTCTGCCCTGTTCGAGGTTTGAAGCTCTATGTGGATTCCTCCCAATTGTTGGTGTGTTTTGGTGCTGGCCGCAGAGGGCTTGCCACAACAAAATGTAGGATTTCTCATTGGGTAAGGGACGCTATCTCGGTTGTGTATGAGGTACAAGGTCTTTCTTCACCTTAGTAATTCGAGCTCATTCTACCTGGAGTGTTGTTTCCTTTCAAGCTCTTTTCAGAGGAGTTCCCCTGGAGGATATCTGTGTGGCGGCACGATGGTCCTCCCTTCACACTCTTATCAGGTTTTATAGCTTGGATTTAGATGCGTCTCCTGGTTCCCAGATTCTTTCTGCTTGAACCAGCCATTTGAGGTTAGCCTGGTCTATTTTGATATATCGTTCCCAATGCATCATAGCTCTGCAGCGTTGAGTGAACATATGAAAGAGAATGTCTCGGGTTACTCGCGTAACCCATGTTCCTGAATAGGTAACGAGACGCTGCATTCGCTGCCAAGCCTCTCACGCTGCCAACAGGACTTCGGCAGGAAATCTGAGGAGCGGATGGCGTATTAGAGTGGGTGACGTAGTGACGTCGAGGTGGCGCCCGCACCATCAGCCAATGAATTGGCTTGATTCCATATGGGCTTCAGACAATCGGCACACCCAAGAGGCGTTCCCATTGCATCAGAGCTACGCAATGTCTAGTTCCCTATTCAGAGAACATGGGTTACATGAGTAATCCAAGCTTTTTATATTGTACTTTGTCCATTAAAAATGTAGTAGTGATGAGATTTGCAAGTGAAGTTTATAGTTTCTAAGTTTACTATGTAGTTCATAGTGAAACTAACCAGTTAGAATGTAAACAAAATTACATTTTAGATTTTAAAAGTTTGTCACCATGTCTAAATTCTAGATAACAGATTGTGGTCTTGATTCCAGGTCTCATCTGGATGCATCCGCAGATCTGCGTTTCTCTCTGGGTTCTCTTGCCGAGACGCAATCAGACCATTATCGCTCCACCAAGGTGATCTGCAGGCCCAGGAGAGGACGCGTGGGGCTACGTAGGGACGAACAGAAGGTAGGATCTCATCACCCATTGTTTCTTGAGCTTTGTGCTAAACCTCACTCCTTCCTCTTTCTTTCTCATGTTCTTGCAGGCTAAGTCTCTGGGAGAGCACGAATGGTGCTCTCAGCAACTTGGTGTTCTCGGCGGCCACCCATTCGAGAGCGACACAGAGATGTCGGATATCGATGACGATGACAGAGAGACCCTTTTCAGTTCGATGGATCTGCTGTCTCCAGGAGGACATTCAGATGCTCAGACTCTAGCAATGATGCTGCAAGAACAACTGGATGCCATCAATAAAGAAATCCGGTCAGTCCGTTCACTGTGACCACAGCACCTTTTTGTAGACTAGGCTTAAATCGTGTTGTCTTAATTGTCTACCCAGAGATGGAGAAGACACATTACATTCAAATTGCTTTAATGTCTATAATGTAACCCATCTGTAAAGCAATGAAAGGACATTATATTTCTTAGAAATATCACCTCAAAGGTGATAATAAAACAGCAGGGGGATCGACCCTTGGTGCACACCTTCTTTAGCATTATTAGGTTTGACAGCTGTTCATTTACACCAACAAAGATAGGATCTAAACCAGGCTAGCACCTGTCCAAAAACAGCATAATTTTCAAGACTGTCCAAAAGAAAGTTAATGATATATCAAATGCAGGTCTAGCAGAGAAATACAACCTTAGTTGGATAACAAGTGTAAGACATTTTTCTCCATTTCACTGGCACTTACAGATCGTTTTTTCCCATCTTGTCACACGCACTCATTCTCCTGTAAATATCTACATCTGATCATTGCTAAGGGTTTATTTGCCATTTAGCAGATCAATTTGATCCAAAGTTACTTGTAGTACACTGATTCCTGGGACAGGGACAAGTTCCTTGACTATTAGTAGCTTTTTCTAAAACATACAATACAAGGAATTGAACTTGTTGCCTTTTTGTCTTAGAAGTTTAGATTTACCATTCGTTTCCCTCCATAACCTACATCTAACCTTCTACTCCCTAGCTAATCCCTTCACTCCTTTTTTGATGTTTTAAGTGTTACATTTATCTGAATTTCTACATCTCTACAGAGACTCAGAATCAGGATTCTGCCACACGAAAGTCCTAGAAGGAAGTAAAAACAATAAAAGGTGCTGCAGAAAGACGAGTTGTACCTTCAGGCAGTGTATATGCTGATTTAAATATCAGCCAGAGCTCAGGGTTTCTCCTGTAGGCTGTTCACACAGCGCATAAGGTGGAGGCTGATTTGACACTTGAGAACATGAGGCATGAGTCCAGTAGTTATTGAACATGAGTGGTTGAGTGAAAGGTTTCCATGCCCACGTGGCACTCCACGGCTTCCTGCTAGACATTTCTGCAGTTCCTGATTTCCATAATTTCTGGGATTAGAGTATATATGCAGTGTATCTCTTTCATATCACACCTCTATCACCTGTCTGACTAGCCCTTGCACCTACACCTAAGGCTGTCAAAAGCAAATGTATGACTTCAAATCAAGTACTAACAAATAAACCATCCCGGCCCGTTGGATTTTATTGAGATCTAATTTGACTTTTGTCCAATTCATTGGAAATGTGTGATTAATATTTGAAGAGGCCAGAACAGACGGAGAGTCTTTCTTCAGCCTTTTTTATGGAACTTTATTTGGATTTTAGTTGGAGTTGTTTCAAAGGTCATTTTAAATTCACGAAGAGCCACTCACTGCAGACAAAGTTGAATTTTTTAGATAGTTCTCTGTCCTGTTATTTCCCACATTTATTTTTGGTCAGAAGCTCCCTTTATGTAAGTTTCATCAAGGTACAAAAAAGTGGTTTATAAAAATGTGCAACCTCACATATAACGTACAGTATGTGTGTTTAACTTTATTTGATTACCTGTGTACAAATACTGTTCACTATGCTATTAAACTGTGCCTCTAATGTGTGCTGGGTTTTTTGATTACAAGAAGAAGATGGTCCCCTTGTGCGCTGTTTATTTCTCTTGCCCTTTTTTGAAAAAAGCACCAGCTTTGTTCTTTGTGCTTTTGGGCTAGAAGACATTAAACTGTAAACATGTTAAATGTTTGACAAATGATCAATGTTTAATTGTTTGCAGCCCTCTCAATTGTTGCTTTACAAGATATTCAATAATCCGAGGCCATGAAAAACATCCACTACAAGAGCGGTCGAATGTTACAGCAGCAAACTGCAGTTTGTGATCCTTGAGCGTTGTTGGTCGTGTCCTCAAGCGTTCTCTGAACCATCTGCATCAGTCTTCAGCCAGTAAACCACAAGATTTCATTATTTCTCTGTTTCTCTGTGCATATTATTGCTTTTTTTTTGTCATTTTTCTATGTTGAAGGTGAATTGCAGAGACAAAATTAAATAAACAGTTTTGTAGGTTGATTTCCCTGAAGAGTGTGAACGCTGTGACTTTGCTCTGTTTATTTGAACAATTGGAGCATTCAACAGTTTTGTTTAGTTTTTGCTTTGCTTTATTACAAGTTAGTCAGCGTGTGTTTTTTCTGTTGCTAAATAGATACGAGCACACAGAAAGTTCTGGTACTTGAGAAGATACCACAGCATCAGTAGGCTACTTTTATGCTTTCTTTTGATATATTGATCAGTACATCAGTATTGTCAGTATTTATCATGTCATTACACAAATATAAATAAATAAATACAATTTTTTTTTTTTTTTTTAGAAATTACCTTTATGTTAGATGTCAGGTATTACCATGTAAAGAAATGTTTGAAAGGTTTGCAAGACTATCAAACCATTGTCTGAAGCCATAACCCCATGTCACAAAGGCAGTATGTAGATTCTCTGAGCCCCCCGAAAGCATCAGTCTCCACAGACTTAATGCATTTCCTGTTGGAGATTTTCCCCTCATAACTCAATAATCGAATCATCAGGGCTGTGACATTTTATCTCTTTAGATACACACACCGGGTGGAGACTGGCATCTTCAAAACCCACAGCACAGCATATTACATATTAAAAACTATTTAACAATCTCACTTCACAAACCTGACACCTGCGCTTTGACCAAAAAAATCATGACAGATTTACAGAAAATGTGATGTCAGATCTTCTAAAATGCTATTTCTGAATCTGCAAACCAGTCTAAACATTGTAGCAACTTAAATGTGCATTTAGTAAAAATAAATAAATAAATAATAATAAAATACTTCAGCATCCAGATTTTGATACTCCAATGGGCAATAGTTTGATCTTGTGGCTGCTTTTTATGTTCAGTTTTGTGTTGTGCTTTTCATTTGGTACTATCAGTTGTAGTGAGGGCTAATTAGATGTTTTAGTCCTGTTGCCAAAATTATTTACACACTTTCACCCAGCAAACTCAGCACTCCAGTAATGTTGTAAATCAAAATGCTATTAGCTCGTTATCATACACTGTAATTTCAGACTTACTGTGGGCTGAACAATTTTTCTCTTATTTCTCCAGGCTCATCCAAGAAGAGAAGGAGTCGACAGAACTGAGGGCAGAGGAAATCGAGAACCGCGTGGCCAGCGTGAGCCTGGAGGGGCTGAACCTGGCACGGGTGCACCATCCTGGAGCCTCCATCACTGCCTCGGCCACCGCTTCCTCCCTCGCTTCGTCCTCCCCTCCCAGCGGACACTCCACCCCCAAACTCACCCCGCGCAGCCCTGCCGGCGACATGGAGCGCATGGGGGTCATGACACTGGTATACGAGCCCATCCGTATCTCTGTCCGACGGGTCATATCATGAGGATTTACAGTTTATTTTCTTTGATCTTTTTAGATATTAGCAGTGCTGATTATATATGGAAGAAAATAGTAATATAAAATTAAAGATGATTTTTGATTTTGCTGTAATTTAAGGCACATTGCTACAAACATCTTTGGGGCTTTACAAAAGCCGTTTTTTCATGCAAATTGTAGTGCTAGTTAAGTCATAAATGACACCGTATGATGACTCTCAATCAAATGTTGTATTACAGCTTTCCTAGTCATTTCTCTGCAGTTTCTGCAACATGTTGCTTTGCTTTGAATGCCTCATGAATATCCAGTTTCCATTAACCTGTTAACATGTTTTATTTTCTGTTTTGCAGCCCAGTGACTTGCGGAAACACAGGAGAAAGGTACTTATAACATGTGGTCCCTTCACAAAAGACCTAACTGTATTTGGCATGATTATTTTTTATGGGCAGAATAGAGGACACCGGGGGTTGTGGAAAAATCTGAGCTTAATCAATTTTTCCATTTTCAATTGACTTGGATCTGAATTGAATTGCCTACAGTCCAAAAGGTTGAATGGAAATGAGACATATGCTTAAAAAAAAGACTTTTTTTTGTTTTAAAGATGTTTAGATATTTGTACTGGTTAATAAAACAACAATACTGAGGAATATTTATAATTAAGATATTAAGTATTGGTAAATATTTTTACATACAAATAACAAACGTTTAATAATTGTTTATAATTAAAAAAAAAAATCAGTGCGTGGGTGACATTTGTTACATTTGATTATGATTGATCAATACTAATATTTATTATTAACATCAATTATTATTAGCTGAGGTTTGTGGAAAACCCGATATGTTGTATGAAACATATCTTGTATTAATATCTATGTATTATTAAAAATATTGTGTTTTCCACCCAAAAACATACCCTCAAGATATTTAAAAGAATATTGGGAACCAAAAACATTTTTTGAAGCCCTTATTGACTTCTACTATATGTGCAAAAAACACACTGAGACGTGTCTCAAAATATCTTCTTTTTTGTTCGACAGAAAAATCAAAGTCATGCAGTTTTGGAATGACATGGGGTAATTGATAGTATTTTAATTTGTGGTTGAACTCCTTTAATTCAAATTCTGTCTGTAACAGATCGCAGCGGTGGACGAGGACGGTCGAGAGGACAAGGCCACCATCAAATGCGAGACCTCGCCACCTCCCACACCTCGCCAAGTCCGCATGACCCACACGCTTCCTGCTTCTTCGCACAATGACGCACGGTGAGACAGCAGCCAGACATGTGCTGTGTACAAACATAACCTGACTTTCCCACTGTTAATCTGTTTGTCTGTCTCCAGCCTGACGGCTACATTAGAGACAGAGGCCAGTGCTCTGAGCAGTGTAGCCAGCAGTCAGGACTCCCTCCACAAACAGCCAAAGAAGAAGGGCATCAAGTCCTCCATTGGACGACTGTTTGGGAAGAAAGAGAAGGCCAGACTGGGGCAGCTGGGGAAAGAGATTATGGGACCAGGACTAGGTGAGAAATATGGTAGACATAGAGACACATGAGCTTTTAAAGGGAGGATCCGAGTTAAGATTTGTATATATCACAGAAAACACAGTCCTTTTCAATACAGATTAATCTGATTAAAACACTGATCTAGAGTTGAACGTCAATATAATTATTACTCTAACATTATCAGATGATGGGTTAATGGATCTTCTCCATCAGTAGGGAATGTATCCGATCCTGAGCTTCTGGGTCAGGATATCGCGGTGGGAAAACTGGGAACACAGGCGGAGAAAGATCGCAGGCTTAAAAAGAAGTAAGTATTTTATAAACCGCTCTCTGACAAATTCAAATTATACGCCAAACACAACCTTTAATGAAGGTAATTATTTCTAGGGCCCAAATACTGTGATGTTATGTTTCACACACCTTTCTTTAAAAAACAGTATTTGAACAAATGGCCCATCTGGATGCATTGCAGTGCCTTAGGCCAGAAACATACTCTACGCAAGTAAGAAAGCAGCACTTTACGTAGTCCTGTTGTACAGACTTAGAGCGAGTTTTTGCGTCACTTTTGCAAGCCTCAGTACTCAAGATGGATAGAGTTATACAACAGATTTACTGTTATTTAGGTAGCTAGCTATAAACATGCTAACTCTTTAACTAACTTTGACTTTTTATGACAGGCCATGACAGTAGATGACCTAAAAGAACAAACGACCAACAACAAAAGTGTTTCCAAACTGGTTTTTGCTACATGTAAGGTGTCAACATAGAATTTATGTGCTTAATCAAAACAAAAAAAGATTGCATTATTAGCATTTCCATCCTATCCATTATTTCCATTATATCTGGGCGCTTTTTGCAAAAATAGATCCTTGGATGGAAACTTGGCTAAGATGCGATGTTAAAGCTTGTGCAACTAACTGCCGTTCACATTTACGTATTTGCGTAGTGTATGTTTCGGGCCTTATGTTAGCTAATCTGAAAAAGAATGCATTTTCAGTGTCAATATAGTTTATGTTCGTTTATCTATACAGGATCTATTTACATACCTGTCTGCGATAATAATACAGCCAGTTATCTATATGCCACATGATGTACTACTTAAATTACAATTAATGTATGATTGCCAGTTGTAGAATGTATGTTAACATGAGTGCCTTTCATAGCAGGCTTGTGACTTTGTTGCATTGGATGTGTTTACAGCATGTCATGTGATGCTTGCCGAATATCACATTTCTTTGCCTTAATGCTAATGGTTTGAATGTGACCGTTTTATGTAATTTGACTCTTGTCGGTCTCATTCATCGTGGTGCCACGCGAAGGCGACTCTTCACCGTTTCCATTGCACTGTCACACTTTCTGCATGCTGTATGATAAAAAATAAAAAAAAACTTTCAAAGATAAGTAGATCTGTTCAATTGTGACCAATAAGTCAATATCTAATTGCAAAAATACAACGATTCCCAACATTAATGCACGTCTCTGAGCTGAAGGTGTTTTTTCTAAAGTCTACATACAGTATGCTCAATAACAAGCATTTAATTTTGTCTCCCATCGCTTTCTCTATTTTTCTTTTCTCTCTCGATCTCTTTTTCTCCTCATCTGACTCTGTATCAGCGGGTAAGTTTAGTTTGTGTTGCCAAGACTTGCTGCATTTTCCACTGTCGACGCTCTGTCCATGTCTGTCGTCATGCTCCTAAAATGTGTGTCTATCTTCAGGGGGGTCCGACACATTTCCTTTCTGTCCATCTAGAGACCCCTGCCTCTGCCTTTCTTTTTCATTTACCTGTAAATGTGATTCTCCCCCTCTGCAGTTCTATAGAGGATGCATCTCTGCCTGGAGAGAGAATGTGTGCCTTTATAACAACCTGTTCTCGATCTGCCATGCCGAGGCCTTTCTCCTCTCGTGTACGTGTGCGTGCGCGTGTCCGTGCGTGCATGTGTGCATCGAGTGCCGTATTCAATAACCAGGTCTCTTCTCTGGTTATGGACTGTCAACTCATTGACTTCTTCCCTGCTCTCTTTTTCTTATCATTTTGTTTTCTCTCATAACTGTTTCTCTCCCTCCCCAGCTACAGTATGTTCAGAAGAAGTCACTCATATGCATTACATTTGACCTGAACATATGCAGTCCAACATGTAAAGATGAGGAGAGACACATCATAACCACCACCACCATGAAGGCCTTATTGCCTTACAGCACACAGACATGAAAGTTCACGGCCGCAGGACGGTTCCCCGTTGACACGGTGCCTGTGCTCAATCCGGTTCGGTGCTGTTTTTCCATCAAAGAAAAGGTGGTTGAGGAAAATTAGACCTTCAAACCTGCCAGTTTGAACTGGGAACAACTGGTCTCGCATAGACTTAAAGTAGGCATAAAATGAAAGTTCACCCAATTTATTTTCTAAATGCACGTTAATGTTCTTATTGTGAAAGATTCATTCCTGCATATGTTAGATTATGTAAATTATGTAAATATGTAAAAAAAAAAAACTCTTAAATCATATCTCAATCCGGTGAAATGACAGACTTCTCTTGTGACATATGCCAAATTCTCCAGTCATTAAGTCCGTGTAAACCCTTTCTTACAATCAACTGCAAGCTCATATTCAGATCCGGCTCCATCCACTGAACAACCAGTGGACTGAAACAAGTCCCCTACATTTATTTTTATTTTATTTTTATTAATCTGTCATTTGGATGCATGTGAAAATACGGAAGAAAAGATCTATCATTACATTCGGCTTTAACTGTCACCATAAAGTAACAGCTTATTCAGGCCAAGAGTCGCCCTGACGAACCACATTTTTTAATGAATCTTTTAGATGTTACAATAGAATGTCATGGAAAAAGTGCTTGTTTGCTTTAAAGTTTTTTTCCCCCCATTGTTCCAAAAATAAATTAAAATGTCGCATTTTGCTTTGGCATGGCGACATTTCAAAAAGGTTTGAAATATGTTAGTATAAGTGCTGATCATTCACCTTTATGTTCCAGGATTTATCTTGTATTGGCGTTGATGAAATGGATGGAGAACTGCTCCACGGGTTTATCATAAACGCCAACTTCAGTTTGCATGAAAGCTGAATGAAAAAATAAATAAATCAAATTAAACCGAATGCTAAAATATGTTTCCAACACTAGGAATAAGACGGCTTGTAAGATTTTTCAGCTTACAGGTTACAAGTCATTTCCATCGACTCTCAAGAAAAAACAATCCACCCCCTGCACAGAACCGGATCAGGCACCATCACCGACACCACTTTGGTGGAAAAGAGATGTCAGTTTGAGTTTTAATTTGTGCAGACAGAAACATATCACTCAGTACAGCATGTGTCAGTACTGTACCTAACACTTCAAGTGGCCTTAGCGTACACCCCAAACGTGGTTGAATTACGAAGCTGACCCAACTGTCTCTGCCTTAAAGTCCACCGCAACATCTGCACACCATAAAATACTCACCTGTACTTGTTCAGTAGCCAAATGCCCTCAGAATTCCAACACAGTTCAACTAAACGTAAAGCCTTACCTCGAAATATCTATGAATTACACTGGTCCGAATTTGACGGAACCTTGGAGATGAGTGCTCTCTGACATTCAGACATTAACGTGAGAGATATATCGAAACATTGCTGAGGACACACTCTATGTTACAAGTCTTTCGGTCCCTGTAAAGATAGTAAATGAGAAGAGGCAAGCTAGACATATTTCCCAGCGGAGATCTGCGTAGAAAGCATCTGCGTGAAAGTCTGATGAGAGTTTATGATAGCAGCCTTGTCTTAAAGCGCAAATATTTATCAAGACAAACACGGAATAGGCTTCAAAAGAAAAGGCATTTCTGTTTTCCCTCGATAAGTAACAGTATTCCAGTTTTCTAAAGCTCTCAGTTTTATAGACGAGGATCAGGACACAGCAAGGAAATGTCACAATGTGTTTATCTGAGAAACCGGAACTTACAGTTTGCTGGCATCTCAGCGTGACTTCACCCTTAGTTTCGTTCCTTCATTTAATCTCACCGATAGCATTGTCTTTGATTCAGAAACCCAGACTGCATTTAAAGAGGCGAGACAGACCTTATATTAAATTATGGAGTGATGTGAACTCAAACAGAGAATTATATTGGCTTGAGTGTTGCTTATTTAGAGAGATTACATGAGGAGGAATGCTAATTCGTCACACTACATGCTAATTACAGGCTAGTAGTGGGTACGAAATAAACTTTTAAGAAGAAACTTGTGCATTTAGTGTTCCATGTTGCTCTGATAAACAGATAGTAGGACAGGAAACCTGGCAGAGACAGATAAAGCATCTCACTTTCTCTCTCTACATGCCCCTTTCCCTCTCTCTCTGTTCAGTTGATTATCTCTAAGCTGGTTCTGTCTTTCTCCTTATCTGTCTTCCTCTGTGTCTCGCTCTGTCACTGTCACTCGCTCTCTCTAGACACGAGTTATTGGAAGAAGCCAGAAGAAAAGGGTTACCTTTTGCTCAGTGGGATGGTCCTACTGTTGTCGCATGGTTGGAGGTGGGCAATACTCATTTTTGGCAATGAAAAAACTATAGATTTGACAGTTAGCTCATGTTCATTCAATTACTAAAGGCTGGAATACACGACATGGTTTTTGCCGATTTACAGTTTAGAGGACGCCAGTTGTGGCGTGTGATGTGAAAGTCTGGTAGTGTGATCCTTAGTCATTTAGTGTAATTTAGAAAGTCAGCAAGTCTAGTGCTTTAAAATCTGTTTAGATGTGATAGTGTATTTCAGCCTTAAATGCACCATTTGTCAAAGTAACAATAATAACATTACCCCCAGTCATAGTTGTTATTACGCCCTTGTATTAGTATAGGAGACAGGCATTTATGCACCATAATGACACTAAGGAAATGTGTGATTAAAGGCGGCCTGGGGTGGTATCCTGGGAATTATTTCTGTATTTGCTCCATATAATGGCACAGATTCTTTATTGCGAGGTTAAGCTAGCTCCGGGGATCTTTAATGGCAGCTAAATAAAGAGCTGTATCGACTGAATCAACAGTTGCGTATTGCATACTGAGATCAGTCTCTCTTAGAATGATGCAATTGAAGTTTTTAGTTGTAGTTGCATGGCTGCAATGTTTTTCGAGACAGTAACTGATGCGAGTTTGCCAAGATACAATGTTAACATACAGTATTTTTGTCTTTTATTAGCAGTTTATTGAAGTCGTCTGAATATTTATAATGTCAGTGAATGTGAAATAGAGATGTGTGATTTGGCAGTATTCAGGTTTGTTTGTTTTGTGGTCAGAACGGATTTGGATGTAAAGCAATGGCGCCATCTAGTGGTGAAGCTTGGAAGATACTGCACAATAGTAGAAGTTCTAGAATCTAGAGTCATTCTAATGCATTCTTTGTACTTTCATTTTTTTATATACATGTTTAATCATGCTACAATGTGTGTGTTCAAAGCTGTGGCTAGGGATGCCAGCGTGGTATGTCGCAGCTTGTCGTGCCAACGTAAAAAGCGGCGCTATCATGTCGGCCCTGTCGGACACTGAGATCCAGAGAGAGATCGGCATCAGCAATCCTCTGCACCGCCTCAAACTGCGCCTGGCCATCCAGGAGATGGTCTCGCTCACCAGCCCTTCAGCTCCCCCTACATCTAGAACCGTGAGTGCACACACAAACACACTTGGTTTAATTGCTTTCTTTTCAGGAACATACATTTATAATGTACAAAAACAAAACCACCCATTGATTTCATCATTCGGAGTGTTGCATTGTTTGGCAAATACTGGGCCTCAGTCACCATAGTCACTAAACTGATCGTCATCATCAGCTATTTTCAACCCATCTGCAGCTTTATTTTGTCCGGTTGTCATGTTAATAGTGTTCTGCATCGATCTGAGAAACTGGAAACTCGACAGCTGATCTGGCATGGTATCATGTAATGACACATTCACAGCACATCCCAGCAGGCAAACTGCAGCTTATTTATTTGAGGTTTTTCTTATTTTTACGTACTCCTTAAAGCATCTCCTGATAAACTACTAACTACACAAAGTCTGGTGCACACTGTATGATTATGTCCACACCTGGCTGTCTGAAACAGATTTCATAATTGTATTGTAAAAGACTTCTTTTGTTCAAAGATAAAAACATTGCAAACATTTTAGCTCACTTTTTTTTACTCAAAAGGACCAAGACAAAAGAAAATTGCACAGTGTGTACGCAGCTTAAGGCATCAGCTCATTTTGCACATTAAAAGCAGTTGTGTCGTCTTCAGCAGCAGTTCTTGTTCCGTCGGTCAGAACAATGTTTTAGGTGCATCCCAATTCGTGTACTTGTGCACTATTCTATGCTGTTTTGTAGTACAACTAGTGAGTAGTGTGTTCACACTGAAAATTCCAAACAGAAAAAGTGCACTTTAAATACCTGGATGATGTGTCGGTCAGAACAATGTTTTAGGTGCATCCCAATTCGTGTACTTGTGCACTATTCTATGCTGTTCTGTAGTACAACTAGTGAGTAGTGTGTTCACACTGAAAATTCCAAACAGAAAAAGTGCACTTTAAATACCTGGATGATGCACTTAATTAACCAAAAAAAAATGAGGTGTGTAATGTTGGACACTTCATGCACTCAACTGCTTTAATTACATAGTGGAGGGAGAGGGGCTATGAGACGCCAATTTCAAAAGACAAAATAACATTCTAAATTTCATACACTACATGGTTGAGTACATAGTGCATAAGTACATAGTGTATAAGTGCATAGTGTATGGGTGGTCTGTTTTTAGCGAACGTTTGTCTCCCCTGGCGTGCATTTGCATGTTCAGTGTGCTTGTGCTCTCTGTATGCATGTTTGTCTCAGTGGGGCGGGTCTTGCTAATGATCTGACTGTGATGCTGTAGGCTTACAGTGCTGCTGCTCTTCTTCTTTAACACTGCTTGCCCTTCCTGTCGGATTCATCTCTGGGGCCGCCCACATAGCCGTCGGGTAATGTGTGGGTAACCCACGAGGAAATGGAGACTCTTGCCGCCCCCTCCAAAACGGTCAGTCGCTTCATCCTTTTGAACTCTAACAAAACTAGGTTTTTTTTTTCACATAATCCTTTGCTTACACTTACTGACCCTTTTTGCTAAGTTTTTTTATTTCACAGAATCAGTGTTTTTATTTCACAGAATCACGGAAGTCGTCGACATGAAATCAAAATCAGCCTCATTTACTTTTGTAGGACACGGTCCTGATGTTATTGTGCACAATTCAAGCAGCTCCTATTCTGAAACATTTTTCCTTTGTTGGTCAAAGGATACGGCAATAATAGCAAATAACAACAAAAAAAGAAATGTTACACTTGGGATGTGTGACCTTGAGCATCAAAAAGCCTACTCCAAAGTAGAAATGCATCAAATTATGGAAGTAAAATGAGTCGTGAATGCAGTTTCATGTCGACTGTGAGCTATGGTCCCTAACTGGGTTTAGGAAGATTTCATCAATTCATGTCTGAATATATATGTGCTTCTATTACATCCAGTGCTAATGGTCTTTAGATGGGTGAACCAGCAGTGATAGAGACCCAAATTTCCTATTGAACAGCTCTGAAAAAAGCAAGGCCGAACGGATGTAACGTTCTCACGTTCAAATCAAATGTAATCAGTCAAAAGAGAATAAAAGTAGCACGGCACGGCCTCACACAATCATCACGATTCACCCTCACCAGTGCAACAATCACTGAACACGAGTGTGGAACGGAAACGCTCATGACGTGTCACAAGTGCAGCGAAGATGAACGCATGTCGTGTGTGTGATGTATTGTGTTTGCATGTAGATGATTTGATGAAGTCGAGCACTACTTTTTTCTATTTTTTTTTTCATCTATCCTGTGAGCTGTTGCAATACATGTTTAATAGCGTTTAAACGGATGCATGTACAGTCGGGTGATCATGTGCAACATACGTGCTTTAAAAAGTTGATGTACATAGAGCAACAATTTGCAGATGTAACACCGATGCACTCACTTTCTTGTGCCTCCGCAGAAGTCAGAGTCAGAGGAGGGGAGCTGGTCACAGGTGAGAGTGTAAAAGTCCATATAGATCTTGTTTATAATTTATAGACTACACAAAGCAGCTCCTTTAGTCAGAATGGCGTGGTTGTTAAATTCAGACATGTGTCATTCAGACGCTGGCATACGGGGACATGAACCACGAGTGGATCGGGAATGAGTGGCTGCCCAGTCTAGGTCTACCTCAGTACCGCAGCTACTTCATGGAGTGTTTGGTGGATGCGCGTATGCTGGACCACCTCACCAAGAAGGACCTCCGAGTGCATTTAAAAATGGTGGACAGCTTTCACAGGTTAGTAGTCCATTAATTTGATTTGATTTAAATTGGTGCTAACTTGACCACGCTTTGATTGCAATGTAAAAGTATTATTAAGATGTACTAATTGGCATTTAATCAAATTTGCAACAGAACCAGTCTGCAGTACGGCATCATGTGCCTGAAGAAGCTCAACTACGACAGGAAGGAGCTGGAGAGACGCAGAGAGAGCAGCCAGCATGAGATAAGAGGTAGGCAGGAGCCACTTGGAAATGCTCCCTGTGATATCCCAATAAACAAAAACACGCGCTGTGACTTTTTGCTTAGACGTGCTGGTGTGGAGTAACGAGCGCGTGATCCGCTGGGTCCAGAGCATCGGTCTCCGTGACTACGCCAACATCCTGCTAGAGAGCGGTGTGCATGGGGCGCTCATAGCACTCGACCACAACTTTGATTACAGCAGCCTGGCTCTGCTGCTGCAGATCCCCAACCAAAACACTCAGGTCCCCATCCATCCACAGACACACACACTTACCTGTTAATATTTGTTTATTTTGAGGGAAATATATTGAATTAATACATTTTTATCCCCCACAGGCTAGACAAATTCTGGAGAGAGAGTACAACAATCTGCTGGCACTGGGAACAGAGAGACGATTAGATGAGGTGAAGCACTAGTTTGTTACATTTTATATAGAACTGAACAGTCGACAGTGGTTACAAATGTTAGCGAGCCGCACTGCCTACACAGCCAGTGTCGTAAAGGAAACAGAACCTCAAAAATTAGTGATTTCGAACAAATGTTTTTCAGTCAACACAAACTTTTGTAAGATCATTTAGGTAAAACTGTACACTTCTATACGTTGAAACAGAGAATTTATCATCATGTGTTTTGGCCATTTGGTGAAAAAACTAACATGACCATGTCAGGTTACAATCAGTCGATCACTTTGAAGTGTGATTTTTGCAGTAGCGTTGTCATAGATTCATTCTCTCATGGGGTGGGTTTGGTGGTTTATAGTGTCACTCCTATATTTCTCTGTTTTTAGCTGAGATGTAGATTTTTTCTTTCCCATCCTATGACCATTAACAGCCAAAGTGTTTATTTATTTATTTATTGTGACCACTCAGACTCACTGAATGTATTTTTTTTCATTCAGAATGCATATAAAAATGAAGTTTTTAAGCAGCTTAGATTGAGAATAGTATTTGTTATAAAACGGGGAACTAGGGAAAAGCTAGTTAGAGTTAAATCATTCCTTTTTTTAACTAACATCATTTAAACAGCAAAGCTAAAGGCATATATGTAGTGTTATGTAATTTATTGCTGCAATAAGACAATGTAAAATGGCACTTTGGTCTAAATCTGCATCTGGACCATCCGTAGTGCGACGAGAAAGATTTCCGAGGACCGTCGTGGAGGAGGCAGTTTCCTCGGCGGGACATCCACGGGATCAGCATGATGCCCGGCTCAGCAGAGACCCTGCCCGCTGGCTTTCGCCTCACTGCCACCTCCGCACACTCACGCAGACTGCCACCAGAGGGTGAGACGTGCACAGTACCCTTCACAGCAGATATTCACAATCACGATCCAAAGAGTGCTAGGGGGCAAAAATGCATGAATTTTAAAGCAGTGTGAGACCGAAGCTATATTTAGGATGGAATAGGAGCATTGCACTTACCGCTAACTTGAGATTTTTTTTTTAAACAGTATGAGAAACATTATTCCCGGGCTAGTGTCTAAATGTGCCATACATTTCTATCAAGCTGAATTTTCAACCAATTCAGTGTCACATGATCTTGTGTAAGTTATTGCAATATATGCTCCAAAAAAAAAATAAATAAATAAAAAAAAAGAGTAGATGATACAGTATGTGTATACATACACTAGGAAAAGACCATACACTGTGCTGTGAAATGTCTCTCTTTTGCACATTAAAGACTGGGTGAACTATCCCATTAATTAATATTTTGGCAAATACAGTACATAATTAGAGTATTTTATATATTTATTTGTCAAAAGTGAAAAATAGTATGTGTAGCATTTGTGGGACACTATTCCAAACATAGCCAGTTACACACAGACTTCACCACATGAGGGTCTGACAGAAGTAACATATATATATATGTATATATGTATATATATATATATATACATATACACACTGGGTTGACTGTTTCTGTTGTTTTTTTATGGACTGCTGCTGGGTAGTCCTGTATGAGGTGATGGACGGCAGTCCTGATGACATGTATTTGGACTGGTTTCAAGGTCAGATACGACAGAGCCTTCAACCGTGTGGTATTCCCGACCCCATCCCTACAGTGCAGTGTACTCGTACCCCCTTAAATGGTCTCAGTGTGTCCCGTCCTCTCCGTTGTGTATTACTTGGGAATAACTGTGAAAAGTTGTCTTGCATTTATGGCTAAGGTGAGGGAGTCTGGTCTTATCTGTGAGTCTGTGGATTGATTGACTTAAAAAGCAGTGATTCTATTTATTTTTTGTCGTTTGTTTCATTGGACGAGAAGTGGCTTGATAGTTTTTGTGTCATGTAACTATGTGGACATAGTACATTTATTAAGGAGGACTAATAAGTTATTCATAGAGTGAGTAATGTCATATGGCTGAAAGTATTTGACATCAGCACCTGTCTCACTGGTAGTGTAAGTTATTGTATTAGGGTTATAACAGTTATGGCTGCATCATGGGCACTGTGTAAAGTTCTTTTTGTGTGTGATTTGTGTAGAATGCATGTTACAGAGTTCTCTCACTGAGTTGAGTGGGTTGATGTGAATGTTTGAACTAGTCCATGTTACTTAAGTAACCCTGGCTGTCTGATAGTGGGAGTGTGGTGTCACCACTCTTCTGACCTTCTAGTAGCAGTGTGCAGAGAAATGGTGGGAATGAGGTGGAGACCACTGGCATTGCTTTATGTAGTAGTTGTTTTTATGCAAGTTATTTTTTAATTAATTTTTAGGGAGGCGAGACTCCTGGTCTGTGATATTGGTGCTGGAGTGTGGATGAACGAGTAGTAATAGAAGTTGCTGGGACTGAGCACTGATCCCAGAGGAACTCCAGGGGTTAGCTGGTGTGCTTCGGCAAGTCCTTTCTTCCACAGAAGCTTAGAGGATGTGGCTGAAAGAGAGAGAATAAAAGTAGGGCAGGTGGAAGGTAGAGTAGGGGTTGGCTGGTATGTGTTTAATTGGCACGATTAAAGGTGCAGTAGATCTCGGAAAATGCTAACTTTAGCCTGATAGCACTGAAAGCGAACATCCCACCCTCCCTGCAATCGCTGTCCAAAGCCACGCCCCCTGAACGCATACGCACACCAGACGACCAGAGACAGCATTACTACAATACATCATGTGTCATTCACCGGTGAGAAAACTTTATAGCACAGTTAGTAACAGTACTACAGTACCAATAAGGAAGATCAGGTTGTTGATGTTTGTCTGCCATTCTTGCTCTGTCTGCAGTGTACGTGAACGCGCTGATGACGTATGCTGTCTGCGCAAACAGGGTGCGCAGAGGTATGCAAATACATATTTGACAGGCAGGTAGGAAAGCCAATTAAAACACTCAGACTGAGCGTTTTGATTGGACCAACATTTCTTGGTCCTACGCCTTCCACAGAATATATAAATACATTTAGACCACTTAACTTAATGATTGCTGTCGGGATTTTCAACCAGCACAAAAAAAAAATCACCTATTGCACTTTTAAGTGGAAGTTAGTTGAATGTGGTTTGGTTCATCTGTTGAGAAAGCTATTTTGTGTAAGCCAGCCAACATGTAGTATAATTTAACATGTTGCGTGTGAGTACCTTGAAAGTTGTTGGCATGAAGGAGTTTGCCGGAGAACAGGAGGAAACCAAGGCCTCAAAGCAAGATTGCTGCTGATGAAGCAGTGGAGGTGTGTGCTGCTGTGCAAGCTAAAGAAGAGTCACGCAGATCTTTTCATCACGAGGGATGAACACGATGGCTGCCGCTCTAGGGAAAGTGACTGTTTAAATGGCTCCTCTGCCATCCACAGCTGCCACTTCTCTTCAATCAACCAATCGCATGCACAAAGTCACGTGGCAAACCTCACAGCTTCTTATTAACAATTAAGAACCTTGGCATCTACGCAGATGGCTTCGCCTCCTCTTCACCGACAGCTAATCCTACTGGATGCTTCGAATAACCAACTGTTTCAATACTTATTCTGTTCATTGAAACAATGCATTCATCACTGTGAACTCACTATGTGCTGTATCTCATGTACACTGATGAGCAAAGTTTTATTCATGTTCCCCTTTAACACCTTTCCCCAGTGTTGCTGGATCTTCCTATACTTCTGCGTGTGGATATCAACACTTACACTACACATCTCACTGAGTGACTGTGTCATTGTGCTGTACTCGTTTTTGGTGGCCACAGGATACCACACACATTAAGACAGGATACTACAAACTCCATATGTAAACTCTAATTATATGGGAGGGCCTTGCCTTTTTCTGAGTCTTCAATATCTACATTTGGAATTGCAGATTATTGTGTACCAAGGATATTTCATCAACTCAAATACATTAAATACCTACTTAAAGGAGTAGTTCACTTCCAGAATAAAAATTCTGTCATTTACTTACCCTCCACTTGTTCCAAACCTGTGTGAGTTTGTTTCTTCTGTTGAACACAAAAGATATGGCTTCAAATGATTTGAGACTAAAAAACCTCACAATTCACCTAGTACGCTAACAATTCACACTATTGCTTGTTTACTCCACCCCTCCCACCTCCTCAAGTCCACCTGAGTATAGAAACAGACATAATCTGATTTCTATTAGTGCTCTCAAATCAATCGTGATTAATCGCATCCTAAAAAAAAATTTTTTTCATCGTGTGCATATTTATATGTATATTAAGTGTGTGTATATATATATGATTTATATTATACATAAATATATAATACATATAATTATACACAGTACACACACCTACATCACGATTAATCGATTTGCCAGAACTAATTTCTATATCTGGAAACCTCAAGTCTGTCCATTAACTACATTAACAAAACTCAATGGCCACTTTAATAAGGATGGATATACAGACAAATTACCCCAAAAAATAATTAACTCACTGAATATCTTTGTTTCCATGCAGTTGGACCATCAGCAGTACAGCGTCTGGACAGCTCCACTGTGAGGACCTACTCTTGCTGAGAGAACATGAATACTATAAGCTGTGAGTCTCTTACACACACAGATCTACCTGTGTTAAACTAAAATCATTTTCAGCCTTTGATAAACAACATCACTGCCCTTCCTCTGTCATCTGCAAAATAAACTCAAACAATGCTTCATGGATATTCATATTAACAACAAACTCAAATCACTCACTCACTCTAATGCACAAGCATTTACACTATCCAGACTGAACTTTACAATCAAATGAGCCACATCTGCAGGCAAACAGCCATTACATTACACTCTTATTACATGTAGCTACAACACTACTCACACCGCTACAAGTCATCTAGACGCTTCACAGATAGATTAAAAAAAATAAAAAGTCATACTTTTAAACCCCTTCTTACACTCACTCATGCACTTCCAAAGTAAGAGTATTATGTTTGCTTCAGCATCGCATGAATGTGGTACGCACACCTTGTAACAAACAGCTCCAAGGTTTGTTTGCATACAACATTATCTGCTCTTTTCTGTTACATTTCTTTCAGAGTCGTACCTTCAAGTTGGCCTGAACAAACAATTCTGATGAGTCACACTGCCAAGAGAATGACAGAAGCCTGCGGAGGACAGGGTGAGGAGGCTCTGCGCCAGACGAGCCGAGGCCACGACCCGGGCGTCCGCCGCAGATGCAGACGCGCTCTCACTCTTTCTGTCTTTTACGCCACGCAGCTCCTTCAGATTAAGTACTGTGTATTTCTTCTACAGGGGATGTTAGGTTCAACTGTAAATCACTATAAATAAAGCTGTTTTTTATATAAATATATATACACACACGTCTGTATAAAAAGAAAGAACATTCAGAGTTTGTGCACATCGCGTCATAGTTTTAAACAATGCTGCTGTTCTTATTTTTTCTCCTACACCCGAGAGACGCTTTTGACATGCTGTTAATTTTCATTCATTTATTCATGCGTAAAACACATACGAGTTCAGAAAGTCATTTTGCATCAATCATTCTATTGGATTAAACATGACAAACACATGCAGAAAAACTTTTTCAACAATGTTCAAGCGATCCTTCACAGTAAAGCGTACTGAAGAACATGACTTAATAATGGGATATGTTTACCTCTCACGCATGCAGTCAAACATCTTATCTTTTGGTTAGAAAGAACGTAAAACACAAATTGTTTCCGTCATGAATAGCACAAAATGTACCGCCAGAGCATGGTGTGTATTCGTTGCGACGCGGACCGCTCGTCTCGGAGCACAAAACACAAGTCTCGAGAGCGTCCGGCCGCCTCCTGTTAGAATAATTCGCTAAAGGACAGGCTTAGCTCGTAGTGAACATAGACTTACTTGCTGTGACTGACTTTGGTGTAAAAATATTTTCAACTCTTGTTTCTGTTTGAGATGCAGGTCTTTAGGTTATTTCAAACACTTTGTTTATACGTCCCAGTTTTGCACGCGCAGAGAATCATTTTATTTTGTGTCCATTTTTTATTTATTACTGATTGTATTTTGGTCAAAACTATGTGGTGATCAAACAACTTTTCATTGTCAATAAAAAGTACAGTCAAATAGGTTTGCTTTATAACAATCATTGTCACAAATGTTTTTCCAATGCATCTGTTCAAGCTGACACTACACTAGAGCTACAATACATGACATGACATTTCACCTCAAGTCAATCAATTGTTTAATGTGTTGCAAGGTGAATCTCACAAAAACGGTCAACAGCATGTCCAGGTTATATTTTAAAAGTCACAAGGAGGAAAATAATGGAGCCAATTTTTTACGATAACTACATACAAGTAATTTTTTTTTCCTTCAGTTGTCAAACTATAAAATGTGAATAATGTCAATAAAATCGTTCAAATTCAAAAGTGTAAACATTGGCACAATTGTTGGTGCTTTGACAAATGGGGGGGGGGGGGGAAAAAAATTACGCTACAATAAAA